TATTTTCCCCAAAAACTCAAAAATCAACTCCGTGCCTGCTTGGTCAAAATTAGAAATTCGGAACAAAACCCGATTACCCATTCACCCCCGAGCCCGGATATACAATTGGTTTTGGAATCTGACCTCAATTTGAGGTCCAAATTCCCAAATTTCGAAATTCCTAAGTTCTACCCAAAAAAAACCCAATTCCACCATAAAAAACCCTAGATTCTAGGATAAAATCTTGTAAAAAGATGAGATAGATTGAAAGAAATGAGTTAAGAATCATTTACGTATGGTTTGGGGAAGAAATGGTGTTTGAAAAATCGCCTCTTGAGGTTTAGATTTTGAAAAATTGGAGAATGAATGAAAAATCCCGTCCAAAATCATTTTTGAACAGTTGCAGGTATCGCATTTGCGATCAAGGGTACGCTAATGCGAACTCGCGAATGCGGACATTACTTCGCAAATGTGAAACATGGCCTGGCCTACTATCATCGCGAATGCGAACAAGTGTTAGCAAATGCGGCCTGTTCACATCGCAATTTGCAATCCTGGGCTTCGCAATTGCGAAGGTCCCCTCCCAGCCCTTCTGATCGCAAATGCGAAACATCTTCGCAAATGCAAGCTCGCATTTGCGAGCCAGACTTCGCAAACGCGAAGTCTACAAACCTGAAGCATACCAGCAAAATTCCTTAAGTCCAAATCACTCCGTAGCCTATCCAAAACTCACCCGAGCCCTCGGAGCTCCAAACCAAACATGCACACAAGTCTTAAAACATCATACAAACATGCTCGTGTGATCAAATCGCCAGAATAACACGTAGAACTACGAATTTAGCCCCAAATTGCATGAAATTTTCATAAAGTTTCAGAACTTCTAACTTTTCAACCAAAGGTCCGAATCACGTCAAATCAACTTCGTCTTTTACCAAATTCCACAAATATGACTTAAATATCATATTAAACCTGTACCGGGCTCCAGAACCAAAATACAGGCCCAATACCAACGAGATCACGCATTAGTCAATTTCTTTAAATCCTTATAATTCCAGGTTAACAATTTTTATCAAAAATTTATTTCTCGGGCTAGGGACCTCGGAATTCAATTTTGGGCATACGCCCAAGTTCCATATTTTACTACGGACCCTCCAGGACCGTCAAAATATGGATCCGGGTCCGTTTACTCAAAATGTTGACCGAAGTCAACTAAAATCATATTTTAAAGGAAAATATATTATTTTCTCGAATTTCCACATAAAAAGGCTTTTCAGAATCGCGCCCGGACTGCACACGCAAATCTAGGAGAGATAAAATAAGGTTTTTAAGGCCTCGGAACACGGATTCGAGTTCTAAAATAGAAGATGGCATTTTGGGTCATCACAGATACCGAGGAGGCAGGTGCGAAATAATATGCTGCTAGCAAATTTTTTTCATTTTCAATTGGTGAACAATAAATCTGTAGTAGACCAAGCTCAAGACTTCATAATGATCGTTGGAGAGCTCAGGTCCGAGGATATTAAAATTGGAGACAACCTTATTGTTTATGGCATAATAGATAAACTACCACCTTCTTGGAGGGAATTTCAAAAAACTATGCGCCACAAACAAAAGGAAACTTCACTTGAGAAGAAGACTTTTAAGAAAAATTATGGTAGACCTCCCAAGAAGAATAATGGTGCAAACGACCAAGCACATAATCAACAAGTTCAAATTGCGAAATCATGCTTTGTCTGTGGCAAGAGTGGGCATATTGCTCGATTTTGCAAATTTCGGAAACGTGGTCCAACACCACAAGCAAACATTACCGAAGAGCCACTTATGGCGGTGATAACAGACATTAACATGGTAGAAAATATTGATGGATGGTGGGGTGATTCTAGAGCAAACCGTCATGTTTGCTATGATAGAGATTGGTTTAAAATGTATACTCCACTTAAGGAGCCCAAAACCATCATGCTTGGTGATTCTTACACAACCCAAGTGCTTGGAAAGGGAGAGGTCGAGTTGAAGTTTACTTCAGGAAGAGTATTAACGTTAAAAGACGTATTTTATACTCCTTCAATCAGAAATTTGATGTCTAGTTTTCTTCTTAACAAGGCAGGCTTCAAACAAATTATTGAGAGTGATCAATATGTAATAGTAAAAATGGGTATTTTTGTGGGTAAGAGGTATGCATGTGATGGGATGTTCAAGTTGAATGTTGAGATGAATAAAACTTCTTCTAATTCTGTTTATATGCTTTCTTCTACTAATTTTTGGCATGCTCGTTTGTGTCATATTAATAATCGTTATGTAGGAATCATGAGTAATTTAGGATTACTCCCAATGGTTAAAAAGAATTTTGAAAAATGTAAGGCTTGGAGTAAAGCTAAAATAACTAAAAGGCCTCATTTTCAAGTTGAAAGAGAAATTAACTTGTTAGAATTAGTTCACACTGATATTTGTGAACTTGGAGAAATTTTAAATCGTGGAGGAAATAGATATTTTATCACTTTTATTGATGATTTTTCTAAGTATACATATGTTTACTTGATAAAAAATAAAAGTGATTCGTTTGAAAATTTTAAAAATTATCTCCATGAGGTTGAAAATCAATTCATTAGAAAAATAAAAAGAATTAGAAGTGATACAGGCCGTGAATATGAGTCTAATGAATTTAATTCTTTTGTTAGATCATTGGGAATAATTCATGAAACTACTCCACCTTATTCTCCTGCATCAAATGGTGTGGCTAAAAGAAAAAATAGAACTTTGGTAGAGTTAACTAATGCCATGCTTATTGAGTCAAATGCACTTTTAAATTTGTGGGGTGAAGCTATTTTGACTGCATGTTATGTGTTGAATAGGGTGCCTCATAAGAAAATAAAATTGACACCATTTAAGTTGTAGAAAAATCACAAGCCAAATTTGGGTTATTTGAGAGTTTGGGGTTGTTTAGCCTGTGTTAGGCTAACAGATCCTAAAATTATAAAATTGGATAAAAGAGTTACCACTTGTGCTTTTCTTGGTTATGCTTCTAATATTACAGCCTATAAATTTTTAAATCTTGAAGAGAATATAATTATGGAATCAGGTGATGCTATTTTTCATGAAAATAAATTTTCATTTGAGTCTAAAAATAGTGGGGGTCAAAGAGATAAATATAATTTTTGTCTATGCCTAGTTCTTCTACTTCTAATTTGCAGAATGAAGAAAATAATGCTTTTGAGTTAAGAAGAAGTAAAAGAGCTAGAATAGAAAAAGATTTTGGTCCTAATTTTTATGTTTTTATATTGAAAATGACCCTCTTACTGTAAAAAAAGCTTTGTTGTCACCTGATGCTATTTTTTTGAAAAGAGGCTGTAAATGATGAAATGGAGTCACTAATTTCTAATAAAATTTGGAAGTTGGTTGATTTACCACCAGGTTGTAAAACAATAGGGTGCAAATGGGTCCTAAGAAAAAAGTTAAAACCGGATGGCTCCGTTGATAAGTATAAAGCTAGGTTAGTTGTTAAAGGTTTTAAGCAACTAGAAGGCCTAGAAATTTTTTGATACTCTTTCTCCGGTAACTAGAATTACATCCATTAGACTTTTAATTGCTATTGCTGCAATTTTTGATTTGCATATTCATCAAATGGATGTAAAAATTATTTTTTTAAATGGGGACCTAAATGAAAAAATTTATATGGATCAACCTGAGGGTTTTATAGAAGCAGGCCAAGAAAGTAAAGTGTGTAAACTTACTAAATCCCTATATGGCTTGAAACAGGCACCTAAGCAATGGCATGAAAAGTTTGATTCCTGCATGATTGAAAATGGTTTAAATCAAATGAGTGTGATAAGTGCATTGTCTTAGAATAATTCACATGCAATTGTTTGCCTCTATGTTGATGATTTGTTAATATTTGACTCTAACATTAATGTTATTGGAGAAACTAAAAGCATGCTTAGTAGCCATTTTGACATAAAAGATTTGGGTGAGGCAGATTTACTTCTTGGAATGAAATTGCTATAACATGTGATGGAATTTTCCTTGACTAGTCACATTATGTTGAGAAAATTTTGGAAAAATATAATTTTATTAATTGCAAGCATGTTGTAATCCCTTTTGATTCAAGTGTTAACTTATTTCCTATACAAGGTGACAATGATGTGATAAATCAAAAGGAATGCTAGCTTAATCGGAAGCTTGAGATATATGACTGATTGTACTCGGCCTGATATTGCATACGCAGTAGGAGTACTTAGCAAGTTTACAAGTAAGCCAAGTAGTGAACATTGGCATGCCATAACAAGAGTTATGAGGTACAAAAACCTATGACTTATTTTATAAAAGAATATCCTGCTGTACTCGAAGGCTTTTCTGATGTAGATTGAAACACTTTATCTGGTGATTCCTGTTCTACTACATGTTATATTTTTACTTTGGGAGGTGGTGCTATTTGTTGGAAATCAAAAAAGCAAACAATAATTGCTAACTCTACCATGGAGGTTGAGCTAATTGCTTTAGCTTCAGCTAGTGAGGAAGCGAATTGGTTGAGAGATTTATTATTTCAAATTCCTTATTTTGAAAAACCAATTCCTCCTATTTTAATTCGTTGTGATAGCACCGCTACGACTGATAGAGTACAAAACCGTTATTACAACGATAAATCCAGACCTATAAAGAGAAAACATAGTAGTATGAGATCATATTTGACAAATGGTACCATTAATATTGATTATGTTAAATTTTGTGATAATCTTGCAGATCCACTAACTAAGGCCTTAGCAAGAGAAATGGCCTGGAGCACATCGAGAGGATGGAATAGAAGCCCACAACTCATAAGCCCTACCCAAAGTGAATAAACTATTGTAGAATATCCCGAATTCAGTCGCACTAGTTTACTGTCATTGTAAGAGACAAACTACAAAAAAGAATTTCCTTTATAAACAGCAATCCCTTTGGGACATCCAATAAAATCAGATCATACAGAGAAGAATAACATGACCGCTATGCAAGGATGATGATAGGCACGCAATTCACTTACAACATTCTATTAAAACAAGTGGAGAAGCCTAGATAGTGCATTTACATCATAAAGGAAGTTCTATAAGTTATACCTGGAATACACCGGCGGATCTAGAGCACAATCTATGGGTTCACAGAATCCCAGTAGCTTTTTGCTTAGACCCTGTATATGTATCAAGAAATCACATAAATATCTAAAAATATTTGATTGTAAACCCAATTATTATTATATAGTAACTGCCATGCCATAGGAACCCATAAACTTCAAATCTTGGATTGGATCTGCTTCTGCTGTCATACCCAAGCTACACTCTTTCCATTACTTTCTGGAGTTAGTACACCACGTATGGGAAAAGACCTCATGGCATGGGCGCAATAGCGACATTGCACATTCACTTTGACATGGAGGATCATGAAATTGCCATTCTCGATGGGACATGAACAGTTGACTTAATATGCATATCAGCTTAAAACTTGGGAAGGAAAAATAAACTATAGTTTATACAGTTTATAAAACCATTCCTCCATCTCGAGAATTATGAGTATTTATACACACAACAGCTAACCTCAGGCACTCAGTGACATGGAAATGACAGAGGACAACTTATATTTGCGTGGTTTAGTTGAACCTTGGGTTTGAAATTTCACTTCTGTGCTGGATCGAACAGTGACTTCCTTCCATTCAGAAGCTGATACTCCTTCTCCCCGATAAACTCGGGGGCAGTATAGAACTTTGAGCTTTGAATGAGCTGCATCTCGCAAAGCAACAATCCTTTATTTAGAATTTCAGCTAAGTATAAGATCGATTTGCCATGCAGAACATGTCTAACCAACATAATGAAGATATTATAAGGAATCCTTCAACTGAATCAGGCCAGCGGAATTTCCTTACTACAAAGTATTTTAGTTTCCTTACCCAGACCAAACATGCTCGTTTTCTGGATCTCTAATCTACTAACTTTTGATCTCCTGATACTTCTCATTTCCTGAACATCTTCTCTGTTTCCTTTGAACTCCAGAAACTCTCCAAGGAGACATTTATTACCTTTCAGCTCTAACCTGCATATATTCAGAAGAATTTTAGTAAACCTAGAACAAAAAGGATAAACTTGACTGAGAGTATACCAAGTTCAAATTCCATTTAACAGAATATGAGGAAAATTATTTCCACATCAAGCAGCTATGCTTCCGATGAATGACTTTCATTTCTTTGAAGTTCACATTCCACCTCTCTGAATCACACGGAAGACATATCTTGGATGTTTTTTTCCAAAAAAAGCTGATATTTTCAACTTTACTAGTAATACTACCAAATGCTTACTGCACTCTGTCACCAAAATCCAAATAGTGGGTTTCATCACTAGATCCTATGACCATGTGGATTAAACAGCCAGCTTCCTCTAGATAGATGCTATTCTTCAATATCTGGCCAGTTTATCACAATGCAAATAATTTAATTACAGAAACAATTGAAATACATTACTTCTGGACAAACAGTTGGACCAACTGTTTCCCTCCAATTCCTGAAAACATCATCGAATTTAGACATGAAAACAACCAAAATATACGCAAGACAACAGACCTATCCGATGTCGGAGCTGTATTAAGAACGAAGTTAAGCTTCTCATTTATTGATTCCTGCATTTCCTTCTTCCCACTATGAAATGCACCTTTAATCCAACCCGAAAGCATGTTTTTATATTCTGGTTTTAGTTGCATCCACTGGTCATATGTTATGAGCTCTGGCGGAAAAGAGGCCGAGTTAATGGCACTGCAAAGGCAGAAACAGGCTTTAGACCAGTCCATGCAAAGCAACTTTAATAATCACAAGACAAACAAAATGTGACCTTTGAACAACAACAATGGCTTATGAAAGAAAACCCGATGGGACTCCACTTAAGTACATTTTTTTGCTTCCGTTATAACACATTGACTTATACCATAGAAGCAGTTAACATAAACTGACAAACCGGGCTCTGGTATTATTAAGGCCAGAGAGCCTACATCGTTCTTGGTTAATTTGCATTAAATAAAAGTCAAAAGGCTGTAAAGAAGCAACTCAATTTTTTAAATTCATGGTAAATTGACTGGTTGATCACTGAGGAACTCCAACCAGTGAAATTATGTAAAGCCTACGTGGAAAGGATGGTGAAACGTACAACTGAATGGACAGACAGAAAAATCAAGCGCTGAACCTTTGAAACGGTCCATGACAACGAAGGAACACATGTCAAATAAATAAAAGACTTAGATGCTTAATTAGGAGTTTGGATGGGTCTTTTATGTCTTAAGCATCAAGGAACAACCCATTTAACCAAGCTATGTGTAAGCTACATTAAGTTCAAACTATGGCTTTAGGATTCAAAACTATGAAGAGAAACAATACAGCAAGCTCTGAAACAACTGCTGCTGGAGATAACTAGCTTATATATATCTTCTGATTAGTGTGACGAAGTCTTCCCTTCAACACTATGCTTCTCGATGATACTGGATCAGGAACAAAGGTATTTTTATTTGGGACTAGTACAATCATTGAGCCGGCATTAAGGTCACACCTGTTGTCTGTTGACCAACTCTAAGTCTAGAAGAAGTAACTTGAGAAAGTAGTGTGCAAATAGTACTTTAATTTCAACATTTAATAAAATGCTTGCCTGAAATTGGGGTTTGAACATATAACTTTAGAAGACAAGTATCCTTCAGGAAGAGCAACCCCTCTTTGTTCGAGATAAGATTCAAGAATGGGAACTAATCGTGCTGCCTCTGCTACCTGAAATATAGAAACTTAAATCATGCGATGGAATTAAGAAAAGCAAAATTCCACATGCAGTCCTTTCCAAAGTTAAGGAACCATATGATCAAAACTTAATTACTCAATGAGAAGATATTGTCGACCACAGCATGCACCACAACAGAAATGATGCAAGAATGAAAAGAAGAAAGCAAAAGAGGGTATTTGAATTAAATTGTATCCCCACCAATTATCCTAGAAGCGGCAATTCAGTGCAGAACATAATAAAATCTCACTATAAAACTTTGCGAGGAGAAGGGGTTATAACTACCATTGCATAAAGATGAGCTTACTCTCCACACAATCAAACAGCCAGCAGCAAATGCCAACTGTTGATCTCCTGGTTGCATCTCCTCTCAGAGAGAGCCTTTAGGGATATGCTTCATCATATGAACAGCAGTGCCATAAAGCTGTGCCTCCAAGAAGATACTTTCATTGCCACACTGTTCAAGCCCATTCTTTGTAAAAGGGATGACACTGATACTCCTACTTGGTTCTTCAGAGAAACTAATATGGAAAACTCATATAGTGAGTTTAATATTATTAATCGAGCTTAAGCTAGCATGCCCTCCGAGTTGTTTTCTCTCTGTAAGCATTACCATCCAAAGCATAATGCTGGACTCTACGGAGCAAACTGCATTTCTTTTGCTACTTGATTTAGCTCTAGGAAGTATTTCATAAAAAGTGTTGGGGGATTATTCAGATTTCACAAATTGGCTTTCAGAAATTGTTCATGCCAACTCCAGCATTAGTTGGGGTAGAAATAATCAATACTATCAACATCCAATCGCAGAAACAACAAAATAACTCTGCAGTTTGGTCCAAGAAGATATTTTGTAACAACAGAATGGTTTCATGAGAGGGGATATAACTGGTAGAGTGTTTTTAAGGGACAACTAACTGTTATGGATTTTAGAAAATATACGAGCAGCAAGAAGGTTGAAAAATAGGATTGAAAAACTGTCTCTGAAATTTTATTAATCATAGGGCTTTAAATAGCCAAATAAATAAAGTAGTAGACTCCTCCTACAACTAAATTACTAAACTCTTACTCTAATTAAAATTCTGAATCTTCTAGCAGACTCCTCCTAAAACTAAACAACTAATTATTCTAGAAAACAGTAGCAGTAACAGATGCAAAATCCAACACTCCTCCTTGCTTCTGTTCCTGCCGTCTAAAGAAGGTCATCCTCAATTCCTTCTTCTGCTATTAGTGCTTGTGCATGAGCAACTTTGAACTTGCACACTTTTGTAACATGACCTTTTTGTTTGCAATTGCCACATAATGCATCAGGTCTCCACCAACAAAATTTTTCTAAGTGTGTTTTCTTTTTGCAATATTTGCAATAAGGATAATCGACTTTTTCTTTTTGGTGTTTCGCATAAAAAATACCCTCAGTAACTTTATCTTGTCTGAAGGCCCTTCTTTGCTTGAAGAACACTTATTAAGTCTACAACAGAGATGGTTGAGAGATCTTTAGACTCTTCTAGAGAGGAAATTTTGGATTCAAATCTCTCGGGAATTGTCACAAGAATTTTTTCAACTATCCTGTCATCTTTGAAATCCTCGCCAAGCAACCTGATTTTATTGACAATTAAGGAAATTCGATCAGAATACTTAGCAATGGTCTGATCATCTTGCATTCTAAGGGATTCAAAATCTCATTTCAAATTTAAAATCTGATTTTGTCTGCCTCGTTCACTTCCTTGATACTCCTGTTTGAGTGTTTCCCAAGCTTCTTTTGCCGTCTCACATGCAATGATTTTAGAGAAGATTAAATCTGCAACTCAATTTTGAATTATAGTTTTGGCTTTGTATTTTTTGGTTTTCTAATCTGAATGAGCTTTGATTTGGGCAAGGTAGGATTTGAAGGAAGTGGTTGTATGAGTCTGTCTTCCATTACAACTTCCCATAGATCATAAGCTTCAAGATAAGATTTCATCTTCACTGACCAAATTTGATAGTTTTCACCAGTGAAAGTTTGTGGGGTATTCAAAGAGAGACCGCTGCTTGCCATTGTTAAAAATTTGATTAAAAATCGGTATAGGTAAAAATGCGTATGGTTTAAAAGTGGTTGAAATTGGTTGTTTTTCAGCGAATTCAAAGATCCGTCAAGATCAATCAATGGAGGCTCTGATACCACTGTTGTGGATTTTAGAAAATATACAAGCAGCAAGAAGGTTAAAAAATAGGATTGAAAAACTGTCTCTGAAATTTTATTAATAATAGGGCTTTAAATAGCCAAATAAATAAAGTAATAAACTCCTCCTACAACTAAATTACTAAAGTCTTACTCTAATTAAAATTCTGAATTTTCTAGCAGACTCCTCCTAAAACTAAACAACTAATTATTCTAGAAAACAATGGCAGTAACAGATGCAAAATCCAATACTAACTTCAGCGAGAGAATGTCAGTAGTAAACATAAGCAAGGAAACTTACCTCTTCAGAGAGTGTTTGATATTCAATTTGAAATTCTACATGTAGAAAATCATGGGATTTATCTAACCATTGCTTTCCGTTAAAGTCTTTTTATGAAACCGAATATAAACAGCAAAAGAGATATAATTTCTTCTTGGCACAATCATGACGAACAAATTCTAGACAGCTTATTTGCATAGCCATGAAGACTAAAAGGAGACAATAATAGCATGTAGAACTAAAGAGAATTACTCGTGTCCAGGCATTAAGCAATTTTACGTTTAGAAATTCGCACAATCTACAAACTTTAGGCGATGCTCGAACTCATGAGTAGCAGTGCAAGTGTAGAAGCATAAATTTCACTAAACTTGTCGCACTAAGGCAAGGATTCGATGGACCTACCAAATCTTTCAAACATAAACTAGTTTGAATCCCTAACATCAAACAAATAATAAAACAAAGATTTTCAGCTCACAGGATCTGAGATATGCTGGGTCTTGTGTTTATGCCCTCAGCGCAAACCCATCTCCCATCCTATCAACGGCCACAAATCCCCGAGAAATTCCTTTACNTTCTTTACACAGATTACTACTGCTTCCCTGCAGAACGAAAAGCTTATATTATCCCCAGGTTTTCCTTCAGGCTAATGAAGAGAAATAGAACTCTTTAATAACAGAGAGTGTTATCCTTCTTGTATAAAATGAGCTTGAACAGACACAACGCAAGTAAAAGAATATCGAAAACCACAAAAGAGAAATCAAATTTAGTGTGTAAAAATTCTACTGAAACACAAAGCATTAAGATTATAGCAATAACCAAGGAACTATGTAAAATGAATTTAATTCTTTTGTCAGATCATTAGGAATAATTCATGAAACTACTCCACCTTATTCTCTTGCATCAAATGGTGTGGCTAAAAGAAAAAATAGAACTTTGGTAGAGTTAACTAATGCCATGCTTACTGAGTCAAATGCACCTTTAAATTTGTGGGGTGAAGCTATTTTGACTGCATGTTATGTTTTGAATAGGGTGCCTCATAAGAAAATAAAATTAATACCATTTAAGTTGTAGAAAAATCACAAGCCAAATTTGGGTTATTTGAGAGTTTGGGGTTGTTTAGCCTATGTTAGGCTAACAGATCCTAAAATTATAAAATTGAAAGTTACCACTTGTGCTTTTCTTGGTTATGCTTCTAATAGTACAGCCTATAAATTTTTAAATCTTGAAGAGAATATAATTATGGAATCAGGTGATGCTATTTTTCATGAAAATAAATTTTCATTTGAGTCTAAAATATGATTATATCGATAGAACTTATTGTTTAGTTACTCATCCCGGGCTGAGAATAGCTCACGTGGGTCAGATAGAGGATTCATTAATTTGTCTTAACTGTGAGGAAATAGTAAAACAATGAGCACAAAGACAAAATCGAGAAAAAGCGAAAAGGCTATTCATGATACTCAGAAAGATTTATGTTCATTCGCTCTGCTCACAGAGCGGTATACCGAAAAAAAGAGGCAACTACCTTACTTAAGCAAGGGGGTCAAAGAGATAAATATAATTTTTGTCTATGCCTAGTTCTTTTACTTCTAATTTGCAGAATGAAGAAAATAATGCTTTTGAGTTAAGAAGAAGTAAAAGAGCTAGAATAAAAAAAGATTTTGGTCCTGATTTTTATGTTTTTATATTTAAAATGACCCTCTTACTTTAAAAAAGGCTTTATTGTCACCTGATGCTATTTTTTTGAAAAGAGGCTGTATGGAGTCACTAATTTCTAATAAAATTTGGAAGTTGGTTGATTTACCACCAGGTTGTAAAACAATAGGGTGCAAATGGGTCCTAAGAAAAAAGTTAAAACCGGATGGCTCCGTTGATAAGTATAAAGCTATGTTAGTTGTTAAAGGTTTTAAGCAACTAGAAGGCCTAGAAATTTTTTGATACTCTTTCTCCGGTACTAGAATTACATCCATTAGACTTTTAATTGCTATTGCTGCAATTTTTGATTTGCATATTCATCAAATGGATGTAAAAATTATTTTTTTTTAAATGGGGACCTAAATGAAAAAATTTATATGGATCAACCTGAGGGTTTTATAGAAGCAGGCCAAGAAAGTAAAGTGTGTAAACATACTAAATCCCTATATGGCTTGAAACAGGCACCTAAGCAATGGCATGAAAAGTTTGATTCCTGCATGATTGAAAATGGTTTAAATCAAATGAGTGTGATAAGTGCATCTATCATAAGTCTTAGAATAATTCACATGCAATTGTTTGCCTCTATGTTGATGATTTGTTAATATTTGACTCTAACATTTATGTTATTGGAGAAACTAAAAGCATGCTTAGTAGCCATTTTGACATAAAAGATTTGGGTGAGGCAAATTTAATTCTTGGAATGAAATTGCTATAACATGTGATGGAATTTTCCTTGACTAGTCACATTATGTTGAGAAAATTTTGGAAAAATATAATTTTATTAATTGCAAGCATGTTGTAATCCCTTTTGATTCAAGTGTTCACTTATTTCCTATACAAGGTGACAATGATGTGATAAATCAAAAGAATGCTAGCTTAATCGGAAGCTTGAGATATATGACTGATTGTACTCGGCCTGATATTGCATACGCAGTAGGAGTACTTAGCAAGTTTACAAGTAAGCCAAGTAGTGAACATTGGCATGCCATAACAAGAGTTATGAGGTATTTACTTGGTACAAAAACCTATGACTTATTTTATAAAAAAATATCCTGCTGTACTCGAAGGCTTTTCTGATGTAGATTGGAACACTTTATCTGGTGATTCATGTTCTACTGCAGGTTATATTTTTACTTTAGGAGGTGGTGCTATTTGTTGGAAATCAAAAAAGCAAACAATAATTGCTAACTCTACCATGGAGGTTAAGCTAATTGCTTTAGCTTCAGCTAGTGAGGAAGCGAATTGGTTGAGAGATTTATTATTTCAGATTCCTTATTTTGAAAAACCAATTCCTCCTATTTTTATTCATTATGATAGCACCGCTGCGATTGATAGAGTACAAACCGTTATTACAACGGTAAATCCAGACCTATAAGGAGAAAACATAGTAGTATGAGATCATATTTGACAAGTGGTACCATTAATATTGATTATGTTAAATCTTGTGATAATCTTGCAGATCCACTAACTAAGGCCTTAGCAAGAGAAAGGGCCTGGAGCACATCGAGGGGGATGGGATAGAAGCCCACAAGCTCATAAGTCATATATGAGGAAACCCAACCTGGGGACTAGAGATCCTATAACCAGGTACAATGGGAAGAACGAATCATAAGATGGCTTGGTTTAAAATGCACTATTTTTTATTGTTCCATCCCTATGGTGTGAGTGCATTATTCCTATAATGATTTGTGAGGTTGAGTTTTATTAACTCTTAATGAAAATCTGTAGCTCGTATGAGTGGGGTGTTAGAGTTACAGGAGCACCCTTGACAGATTTCACCTATGTGAGTGTGGAAGTAGGCCGCTTCCTATGAAAATTGGGCTCGTTCTCAAAAACACTCATGAAAATCGGGATAGCGCAAGGCCTTAATGTGCTGGCTAATAAAGCTCATGTCAAAACCTCGATTATTATGTGAGTGATAATTTATTTCCCTAAAGCAGTCATAGTTCAAGTCTAAGACCACTACTGACTCTGGAGTAAAGATCGTTGTTTTGCAAAGTGGAGGTTCAATGTAGAGCACGCCTTCATTATGCATAATAGTCTCCCTTCAACTAGCAAACTCTCTTATTTTAATATTAAAATGAGTGGGGAATATTAGTGTTTTAGCATTTTATTAATAAAATAAAATATCCCATAACTCACACTACTACATGGTGTAGAAAATAACTATAACTCTTATAACTCCCACTACTACATGATGAGAAAATGGATATAACTCTTTTGTAACTCTTCACCCATGTTACCACTAATTACACATGAATTATCCATTATCCCATGTTCTCCATGATTTCATAACTTACTACTCCACTTTCTTCCAATTTAATTCAAGGAAGAATTTCTACACCTATAAATATGAGTCTTTCTTCCATAATGTGGTATGTGAAAAAGAATTGAGAGTGTTCCAATAAAGTGAGGTTAAAGTTGTGATAAAAGAAGAAGAGAGTTTTTACTTTTGTTGAAGGAAGGTGTTCATCTTGGTGGAGCTTTGGACTCCAACAACTTGTCCAGAGTTTGTTCGAGTCATACGACGTGATCGGACTGTTGTATCCTGGGGGAAACAAGTCAAGAGGATTGCTGCTGGACCATTGAAGAGTTTGCTGCAGTGGGCTTGAATCTTTTTAAAGAGAGCGAGATATCCGCGCCTCAGCCTGAAGGTATTTTATTTTCTTCATTTTAGTTTTCTAACTGTTATTTTCACCAACAGATTAAAAGCTTAAAGGATGAGCATGGTTGCAATAGGGACGGGGAGAATATCGATGAAGCTAATTCTACTTGGAATATTGCAAAAAAGTTGGTGGATATACTTAGGGAAGACTGACAAATAAAGGTATAATGGCAATTATGAAGACCTATGGATTAACATCTCACAGGATGCACTTTGGAGAGCAAAGTGCAAAGCATTAGAAGAGATCGAGGGAAGCCACAAGGAGTCATATGGAAAGCTTGCCAAATATGCTGAAATGTTCAGAGAATCAAACCCAGGAAGCATTTTTAAGGTGCATTATTACAGACCTAACTAATTAGTCCTAAATTTTAGAGATGTTTCTTTTCATTTCCTGCTTTAAGGAATGGATTATTGGGAGGATGTAGACCCTTTGTTGGTTCTGATGGTTATATTAAAGGACCATATGCATGGTGGAGTTTTGCTATCGGCAGTTGCATTAGATGCAAATAATGGCCTATTTCCAGTTGGATTCGCTATTGTTGAGAGTGAAGAAAATGAAACCTGGAGATGATTTTTCTATTGGTTAAATGATTTTGTTGGTGCTTGGCCTCGTGACAAGCCATGGACATTTATGAGTGATAGACAAAAGGTGAGTAAATTATGTTAGTATCTATTTTACATATAATACTTTTAGATATTTATATACCCACAATCTGATTTGTTCTTACTTATTTATTTAGGGACTCCATCAAGCATATGAAGAGATCATTCCATTTGTGATTGTGCTAGACATATAAATGCCAAACCATTTTACCGATGCTTCGTCTTTAGATATCTGCTCATATTATCCGATCAAACGTTTCCATTGAGATTTTATCTTATGGACTAGAAGAGTCTTGGCCCGCGTTTGCGGGCCCAACAATTTGAATTCTAATGCAGCTTTACTTTACATCGCAACTAAGAAATCAAATCCGATTAATAATTTTCTTTATAACCTATAGTTAAAATTCCTAGGCACAACTTTGTCTTGTGGTTAGCCTTAAATCACAGACTGACTACTGTGGATCGCCTTGCAAAAAGGGGAATTCAAGTAGACCAAGACTGTGTATTATGTAAGAAAGGACAGACTAAAAATATGGAACACATATACT